ACAACCTTCGCAGCAGTTTGTTAAGTAGTTGTGCATTGATGTTGGCGCAGTATACCTAGCCATCTTTGCTATATGCTTCGGTGCTTAAATGACTTCGAAGATAAACTTGGCCAGTAGAGATGAAAAAACTGATAAAATCTCCCATTCTCTTTCAAGAATCAACATACAAATAGTCCTATGATCTGCGCAGGAGTTTTTTTTAGTAAGTTTGCCCAGATTTGAATAGAATATTCATAGCCCTTTTTCCTGTAGGATTGGGAAACAACAGCAATAATAATATGAAGAATAAATGGATGAATTTTGAATTTTGTCAAACAATCGGAAAATCAACTTTTTTTCAATCACCATTATCAATATTTTAGCAGCCTCAGCCATTGAGATAGAAGGTTTTGAGTATTGTTTCAAGAACAAGTCTGGTTTTTAAGATGGTTTTTGCCCGCATGTTATATTAGAACTTTTGTGACATTCCAGGACGACCCCTATTATGAACCACTATCGTGATTTCATTTTATAGTTTTAAATCTGTAATATCGGCCATTCATTTCGAAACCAGACGTCTATATTTTTTTAATTAAGCTTACGTCTAAAGTGCCAGAAAGGAAAATGATTCAGTTATTTGAAACATTAAATTAACTAAGGGGAAAATAAATTTAGCACCGTAGATGGAACAGCAATATCTTATGAAGTACAAACGTTTGAGATGGATAGATTATCTTTGTTCAAGAAAATTTAGTAATTAGTAAGTAAATGATCAGCGCTTTTCGTGTGTTGCTTTTTTAAACATATAACGTTTCTACAGTTTTTTACAAGACTCCTCATCCAACCTAACACTGGCGCAGTGTTGATAATAAGTAGTTGATAGTAATAGCAGAACTGTAGCTCCACCAATTGGCTGGCGTTATGTAGTTGATTTGCTATGATAACGTTCAGAAAGAATCAAACACACAGGGGACAACTCTAGACATAAAACCATATATCGGGAAGAGATGTATTTTTTTTTTTTAGAAACCAGCTACATCGACCATCAACGTCAATAGGCTAGTAAGTTCACGTGCCTTGATGTAAGTTTCCTGAATTATTTCTTTTTTTGTTGTTGCTATTAACAGCTTCATTATTATGAAAAGAAAAACATAAAAAAAGGTTATACTAAAGAAGCTTTTGGAAGAACTTGAAAATAACTTAGGCTTGTGTTGTATACTTGAATAATGTGAACGTCAGAAACGTGAAAATGTTATATTATTATTATTTTTTTAAGTAGAACACAAGGATATTAAATATCATACCTTTTGACATACACTCAGTTACTTGAATCAGCTGTATCCAATGCATGAGCCATTCTATTTTGGAGACGTGATGTTTCTGTGAAGAACAATAATTTCCATAAACAATTCCGGAATAGTGAAATTTATTATCTTCTAATTTAGAATGACTACAGAATAGTCTTTGAATAAAAATGAGAAAAATCCGAAAAACTGTCAGTAACTGTCAATGTGTTTATAATTCTGATTTAAATAAAGGTAAAATAACTTTTATTTCATTCATTAACTGCTTACCACTGTCTAAATGTTAGATAAGATGCTGTGTTTCAACATTGTTCAAAGATGATGAGCTAAAGGATAACATGTCAAAGAATAAGGCTTTCAATGTCTATAAATATTTTATATTGAGTTTGTTTATTTGTTTGTCGTCGAGCACACAGCTACATAATCTATAGTAAGGTTATAAATGCTGTGCCCACCGTGTATCGAAATACAGATTTTAGCGATATAATACTTCAGACTTACTGCTGAGCCACTTTATGTTGGGATCAACTACTAAAATGTAAATTCACTACGAACTTTTAAATGTCTACTCTTTAGATTTTATATCTAGAAACATCCAGAAAATGAAGTTTTTCTGACAACTCATCAGGTTCTCTGAACAGAAATATCCAGAAAGTGAAATATTTCTGACAACTAAACAAATTTTTGGGAAAAAAATTGTATATTTTGTTGATCTGCACAAAACTAAGCAATGTTTCATCTGGGCTTTTCCCACCACGAATATCAAAACCTGATTTTTACTGCTAAGCCACCTGAGGGAGGAGCGAGAAAAGAGATTGCCAATGATTAGGAAACTCATATAGAAGACTGTGCAATTTCTGTTGCACCTGGGTTGTTCACTGGATGAACGGTCTTCCTTCCTATTGTGCAAGACTTTAAAGATTTTGGTGTACTATGAATAATTATATAGCTGTTTGTCATACGTGAAGTATTTTGTGTCTTAGTAATGTAGATTTAAAAACAACAATTTTATAAACAGCGTACAGTTTGATGTGGAAAGGACAGTCAGGCTCTTGTTTGTTTAAACCAGCTGATTTTCATTGATGATCTTAGTATATTAAGTCGCTAAACTGAAGTGAGTTATAAATAAACAAGACTCCGCCTTTCCTATGCACATAAGACTAAATTGTTTATAAAAGTGTTTCGTTTATATTTTTCTACCGAATTTAATGTCCACTGAACGGCCATATGAGATTGGAAATAGTCTGTGTTGCTCATTGGATTGTCCTCTTTATTGAATGGAAATATACAATACGTTTTGTGCATGTTATTGTCGGAGTACCTCTCTTCACTGGATGACTTTGTATAAACATATTACTTTTGTGTTATCAACGGGGTTGTTGACAGACTATGTACAGCTTGTTATATTATCTAAAGTCTAGTAGATTGTTTTAACTGAAGGACAGTTTAAGTTGTTACTTTAGTGTTTGGCATGGGGTGGTGGTTTCTTTAACAGCTATAGAGATTGAATCTGATTAATATCATCTGGATTTTTTTTTGTCAAACGAAGTGATAGTAACTTACGCATTGTAAGACAGACTTCTCTTCATAACTAGACACTAGCAGCCATGCCATTTGAATAACAGTATTTTTTGTGTTATGTTTTGTATATTCATATAAGAAATTAGTCACGGATATCTAGATAATTCAGTTTAATTATGAAGGGAGAAGAATGAAATTATTTTTTGTCTAGAAATTAGTCTGTGGTGCCTCAGTTGCTCTGAATATTCCATACTTCTTATTTTCAACTATTATTTTTCAATAAAATGTCATTACACGCATTCGGTGTAATTCAAAAAAGTACCTTCCTCATTTTTTTTTCAGTAAAGTTTGTGACTCGTTTTTTAGATTACCGACCAAAGCTGTCACATTTTAATTATGATAATTGTATTTTCTGGCAGTCACGAGGTTAAAAATCACTGTCTTTCTCATGTAATTGATCTTTACGTGAGTTCTCCTACAAGGGGAGCTGAAAGAAAGCAACTGGTATTAATGGTTATGTCAAAACTAGTAACCACTATCATCCAAGTAGGAGGTATTCGACACACAAGCAACTTTAAATACTGGGTTTGATTTCCTACGCCGAACAGAACGCAGATAACCCATTGTGTAGCTTTCCGCTAAAACAAACAAATCGAAACACAGTAAGTCACAGACTAAGCCAATCCTATGATATTCCAAGTTTCATACTCTGGCTATGTGTTTTATTAAAGAACCCGATGTTTAGTTCACTATGTATTAGTTTCAGAAAGCAAAACCGAAAAAAGACATGTACTGAAAAATGACGCACAGTGTTAGATAAGTAACTGAGGAACGGATTGCTTAAAGCGCTAAGCTATATGTACCAGCCAATATTATAAGTCATGTTATACATTTATATTTGTATTCTTCGGTGTTTCAGTGGTAAGTTTACATAGTTGCAGGCCTAAAATCCGGTATTCGATACCCCGCGGTGGACAGGACGCAGATATTATTTATTGTTAAGCACAAAACTACACAATGGGCTATCTATGCTCAGCTCGCCGTGGATATCGAAATCCGATTTTTAGTGTTATAAGCTCTCGGTTGGCTGGTTGTTTGTTTTAGAGCAAAGCCACATTGGGCTATCTGCTTTATCCACCACGGGGAATCTAACCCCGTACTTTAGTTTTGTAAGTCCGTAAACTTACCATTGTCCCACCGGGGACATAAGCCCTCGGACTTACCGCTGTGCCAAGGAAGCTAGATCTCATTTATCCCGTGATGTAGCTTTGTTTTCAAAAATAACAACAGCAAGAACATCATTAATCATCAACTTAATGTATATATATATATATTAATGATAATTCTTATGCTGATTTATATTTTACTTAAATATCAACATATTTTTGTTTCATTACAATTTAATTTCTGAGTTGCTTGAATAATGAAAACACTTTTAAGGATTTAAGTGAACGAACTTTAATGTTATCACAAGAAATTTAATTGCAATTATAAATTTAAAAGTTAATTAGCTATTCTCATAGCAATATAAAAACAATCCTGTGTTCGAAGATTAGCAACACTTTTGTATTTGAAGAATAAAAAAACTAATGCAACGTATTTTCGATACGGCTGAAAAGAATATTAAATCTTGGAACTAATGATCAAAGATATTAATTCTAAACGAAAACAAAATTTCTTGGAAGCTCAGCAGGCGATATTTAATCAACTCCCGAGGACAAAAGAAGCCAAGGTTCTTTGTTAGCTGTTTAAAAGAGGATTCGTTCACGAAAGTCATTAAACTAGAAGACACCATTTTGTAAACTAGATTGTTATTATTTTTTAATACATGGATTACGTTATTATATGTTTGTGCAGGCAAGATGAAGATTAAGAGTTTTGAATGAAATCATTTCATTGGAAATGTGAACCAAGTTTTATAGTAACATCTTTACTTGAAAAATAACTTCTTATTAAATTCTGGGATATTGAAGTTATTAGCAGATACAACTTTATAGCCGTATAGACAAGCTGTAAATTGTTAGGCCTGTCTCTCCGAGACTCAACGTAATTAGGAGTGCTGGCGAGAAAGTTATTTTGCAAATAGTATTTATCTCACTCACAAGATGGCGCCCTCATCCTTGTATAAGTGGGTTAAGTTTTCACAACCGTGTGGAGAAACTCCTCCGCGGGAGATCTTCGTTCTCATATGAGTAAAGTGTTCGGACAACACTGCGTAAGTTAAAGATTATAAAGGCTGACCTGTGTTTTCCGACTTGGTGAGAAGTTAGTGCCTAGTTTTTGTCAGACTGACAAGAGTTTGTTTACAGCAAGAAGGTACTTCGTTAATGAATTATCTGCCAATTTAGTTTGTTTTCTAGCAATACCTAGTCTACCTTCGACCATGCCTTACATTTACATAGAAACGGCAAAGGAGAAGTTATGTCATGGAGCAAAGTAAGTTTCAACGCTCGCTTCTTGTTAATGAATTATCTGTCAAATCAGTTTGTTTTGTAACAGAACCTAGATGACCGTACCTTACCCTTACGTAGGAATAGTATAGGAGGAGTTATGTCACGGAACAAGATAAGTTTCAATGCTCGCTTCTTGTTAATTAACTATCTGCCAACTTAGTATATTTTTAAAACTATACATAAACGACCATACCTTACCCTTACGTAAAAATAGCAAAGGAGGAGTTATGTCAATGAGCAAAGTAAGTTTCTTTGCTCGCTTCTTGTTAATGAACTATCTGTCAAATTAGTTTGTTTTGTAACAATACCTAGACGACCATACCTTACCCTTACGTAAAAACAGCAAAGGAGGAGTTATGTCACGGAACAAAATATGTTTCAATGCTCACTGCTTACCATCGTGAAAGAAATGAAATACATTATGAAATAAATCTTTTTAAAAATAATGCTTGTTGTATGATAAAAACGAATTTTATATTATGAAAATGCTAACAAAATAATGAAAGATTAGTTTTAACGCTACAAGCAAAGAACAGGAGTTATTTGATAATACTCAGATCAGCTGAGAATGTACGAGATTATTTGAGGATAACTGGATTACATAGCGATGTACTAGTTTACTTGAAGATGATTGGATTATTTGAGGATGTACGGATTAGTTGAAGATGACTAGATTAGTTGAAGATGAAAGGATTACTTAAGGCTATACTGAATTAGTTGAGGATGACTAGATTAGTTGAAGATGACAGGATTACTTAAGGCTATACTGAATTAGTTGAGAATGACTAGATTAGTTGAAGACGACAGGATTACTTAAGGCTATACTGAATTAGTTGAGGATGACTAGACTACCTGTCATCTTCAACGTATAGCCTTAAGTAATTACCTTCTAATGATATGTCTTGGAAACACGCAAGTTAAAACATACATATGCGTTGTGAAGTAAAAATCAAACCAGCTTGTCAGAATACATTTAGAATATAACTGTAGTGAGTGTTAGCATAAAACACTTGGTTTTCTTTCAAGACAAATTATTATATTATCAGGACTGTTTTAAAAGATTTAGACATTATCAATTAACGACATTTCTCAAACCTGTGAATGGATAACTTAGTATACAGATCACTGCGGTCGAGAGTATCAATTGGCTTAGTTTAATAATTGTTCTATTTTTGTTTGACCCTATAGAATCATTCATGAAATAACGTAAGGATTAATTAAAAGTTTTCTATCTTTACACTTGTTATTAATAAATTTAATAAACCATTTTAGATATTTTACCTTTATTTGCATTACGAAAAAACACTAAGAAATTACATTTTAGTCTAATTGCCTATAAAACCATTATTTTTTAATAGTTTAAATACTTCAAACTATATCGAGAAGAACAGGCAATTGTATTTTAAAGTATGAAATATATATATGTAAAAATATTTTCAAAAAATTATCCAACTCACATTTCCCCTTTGAGTGAGAAATGGAAGCTTTATTTCGCTTCATCAGCACAAGTATGAGGCAGAGTTTCAGATTTATAATTCTTCGTTGCATGTTTCTAATCATAAAAATTACGCATATCCTATCATCCTCAACTAATTCAGCTTCAATTGAACCAGAATTTTTATACAAAACACATGTTGCTGACAATGTAAAACCGCGAGTAATAATTAGATGCTGTAGGTGTGTAAAATACGTATTTTGTTACATATTTCGAAAAGAAAGTGCACATCATTTTCTGTGGTGATTTTTTGAATTTACTAAAGTCGGGTTTACTTGTTTCTGATTTTTGACTATTGACGTTTATTAAAAATGTTTGAAGTCCCTCTTTACCATATTTCAACGTATTATTTAGGATAGAATCCTGTTTAACAAACATTTTGTTTTATTGTTTTTTCCGGTTTTGTCATAGCAACAGAATATGGACTGTCCCCCAGTGGCACAGCGGTATGTCTGCGGACTCACAACGCTAGAATCCGGGTTTCGATGCCCATGGTGGGCAGAGCACAGAGAGCCCATTGTGTAGCTTTGTGCTTAATTACAAACAAACAGAATATAGACTAACTGTCATTAATATCATAACCTCATCGTGAGAAATTCCAGGCCTTACGGCAAGCCAAGGATTTTAGAGTATATGCAGTAATACTGCTACCGGTTAACTCCTCGATATCGTTACAGCAACTCAAGGATTTTAGAGTACAGGCAGTAATACTGCTACTGGTTAACTCCTCGATATCGTAACAGCAACTCAAGGATTTTAGAGTACAGGCAGTAAGACTGCTACCGGTTAACTCCTCGATATCGTAACAGCAAGTCAAGGATTTTAGAGTACAGGCAGTAATACTGCTACCGGTTAACTCCTCGATATCGTAACAGCAAGTCAAGGATTTTAGAGTACAGGCAGTAAGACTGCTACCGGTTGACTCCTCGATATCGTAACAGCAACTCAAGGATTTTAGAGTACAAGCAGTAAGACTGCTAACGGTTAATTCCTCTATATCGTAACAGAAAATGTTTGTGCGCAATAATTATTGGTATTTATTTTTTTTCAGAAGGTGTTGGCCATATGATTAGAACTGTGGTTTTTGGTGCTGGCGAGTCGGGTTCGATTCCATGCGATATCACAAAATATTCGTTACACTTTTAGAGTGACAGTTAATCCCATAGCATGGATGGTCAGTTGTAGAGTTCTGCTGACTAGCTGCCTTCTCTTTGGTCAGTAATTCAAAATTAGGGACGGCGGCAGGTAGGCTTAGTAGCTTTGTCATAAACAAGAAATATAAATACTGAACCTCTGTAGTGTCGTGTAGTTCTGAGAAAAAAGTTATTAAAAACATCACGACTTTGACCGTTTGATGTAAATAGTCTATAACTTCTATAACCATGTGATTGAGGTAATGACATGTTTCATTTTTCTTTAAAGCTAACATTACTGGTTAAATTGTGTAAAGTACTTTGAATACTATTATCATTATTCATTAATAAATTGTTACACTAAAAATATTCTTTTCGATTCTTAACTTCATATAAGGATATAAAATGAACCTAAATATCCACAGCTGGCCGAATCTTGTGGGATATTATTGGAATTATGACCGAAAATATCATTACAAGCAAAGGTACTTTTCTGACGTTTTACGTTTTTCTTTTTTGTATTGTTTTGTGATATGAAGTAATTATTGTTAGATTGTTATAAAGAATTAACTTCGTTAGTTTTTATAATTCTGATTTATATAGTTAGTTGACTTTTAATCAGAAGTTTGGTAATTATGTTTCAAATTAATTAATGTTGTTATATTAAGTTTTATATTCAATTAAGCTTATTTTTGTAATAATTAGTTATAAACAGAATGACAACATAGTTGTATTTACGATTTAGATCAATCGTGTATCAGCATGGCCTAACAATAGTTTTAAGTCTCGAAGTGGTTAGTGAAAATCGAAGTTACTAATATGAATCAATGTTGTTAGCGTTAATGAAAGAGTTAATGTGAATCAAAGTGGTTAGTGAGAATAGAAGTGGTTAGTCTTAATCAAAGAGTTAATGCGAATCGAAGTGGTTAGTGAGAATCGAAGTGATTAGTGTTAATCGAAGTGGTTAGTGAAAATTGAAGTTGTTAGTGTTAATCGAAATGATTAGTGAAAATCGAAGTTGTTAGTGTTAATAAAAGGATTAATGTGAATCGAAATGGTTAGTGTTAATCGAAGTGGTTAGTGAAAATCGAAGTTGCTAGTATGAATCCAGATTCTTAGTGTTAATCAAAGAGTTAATGTGAATCGAAGTGGTTAGTGAGAATCGAAGTGATTAGTGTTAATCGAAGTGGTTAGTGAAAATTGAAGTTGTTAGTGTTAATCGAAATGATTAGTGAAAATCGAAGTTGCTAGTATGAATCCAGATTCTTAGTGTTAATCAAAGGGTTAATATCTCAACATGTTTGAGAACAGTCCAAAAAATTATTCTAACTTCTTAAATTACTCTACGTTTTAAAGATGTCTTTTATTAAACTTGTTTAATTGTATTTGTATAATGGTTTAGGGAAACAGACTGAAATTCGTTGGATGTTACTGTGTTTTACGACTTAAAACACTGTTAACATCAAGGACTCCCATCCATTGACATAATGCACCTTTATCATTATTTCATTTTTAACATGTTAATTTCTATCATTTAAAGCTATAAAGCTACGGTTATTGTTTTTTTTTTTACAGTTAAGTCTTTGTTGAGTAGAAAGTGTCTTATAGTTACCTTTTAGACCTAAATGTATGGTGTCTCAAAAACACAGGCTCTCTAATGATACCATAAACAGTTATTTTAAAACTTGAAATTTTAAGTTTTCTTAAGTTGAAAATTTTATTTAATGCAATACTTTCAACCGCTCATCTTCCCCTACTTACCGTCTATAAATCGAGACCTTGTAGAATGTCGTTATGTGAAGATTTTCTGTTGTTTGTTGTTAAGCACCAAACTACACAAGGGCTTTCTGTGCTATGCCCATCACACATATCGAAACCTTTCTTTTATCGGTGTAAAGCCTCAGACTTACCGCTGCACCACAGGGGAACATTTAGACACTTCGGTTGTTGTTAAGCGCAAAGCTACGCAATGGGTTATCTCGGATGTTTCAACATCACGGGTATCGAAACCCAGTTGTTAGCATTATAAGACTTCAGATTTACCGCTGTGGGACATTAGGAGGGGATGAGACTAAAAGTATTGTGTTGAATGTTTCTTGTAGGGAGTAAGAGAAGCTTGCAGTTTCTCATTTGCAAAATAATTGTGGATGAAATCATTAAATGATTTCAAGTATGTGGTCTGTGTTTTCTTAAGTTCAACAAGATTGTCTTTTTGAGATGTAGATATATTTTATTAGTATCCTGTGATGACGTTTTGCACGTATTCATTTATCCAATACGTTCGTTGAGCGTCAACCACATCAGAGAGAAAACGAACAATCCTATTTAAAAGAACAGTATAGTAAGTCACGTATA